AGATTCTTCCCTCAATTCTCAACCAAGGATTCTTTCTGAATCCTAGATGCATGGTTTTTTGTATGTGTTTTTCTCCTTGATCAAGGGACATATTTTTTTCTATTTTAAAACTAATAATTTCATGAACTAAATTCCAAAGACTACACAGAATGTAGTCGGCCTGGTTTTAATGTTTGCTGCTTCTTTTGGCTTCTGTAGCTTAAAATCAAAGAGATGATTCCAGTCTTAAAACAAACATTCAAATAAACAAACAAACATATGCAATATTGCAATGGTGGAAGATGTCCATAGAAAAAGAAAGACATTGTATATAAAGAGACACAGAGATGTAGGAGTCAAATAAAAATAAATAAATAAAAATTTAATTTGTCACAAGTTCTTTTATTTACTAACCAACTTCCCTCCGGAGCTTGGTGTTGTTTGCTCCGTTGTCCAGTATATTAGTAAGATGTTCAATGGGGAAAGAGATATTTTTCCGTTCAATGTCGAGATCAGGGTTCACATTTTGTCCCGGAGAATTTGGAGAAAATATATTTGTTTTCTTTGCTTCCATTTTGAATACTTTAGCACCTGTGAAAAGCATCCAAAATTAGTTATCTTAGATTCTGAGATCTCATAAAAATATGTAATTGACCAACGACTTGAGTATAGAAAGGAGGCTTTCTTAGAAATGGGTCTAAGAGAGTGTCAAAACAATTTTATCTCTACTTTCCTGCTGGGTGTAACCAATTTCAAATACAGTGGGATTTATTCTAAACAATCATTCTCAAGATTGTGCTATCAGTGCAAGAGTCTATTTGACTTGATATAATCTACTTAACTCTCGGGAATGAGCTTGTTTATTGTGATTACCAATAGCATTGTTATGTTCTGTTGACAATGTGGAGCTACAGTTGCCAATTTTTTATATGCTGTAAATAAATAATTTTTAAATGATCAAGATTTCAGTGATCTCACCCCTTAGAATTGCTTTCTAACCTTGAAGAAAACTTCAGACAGCTCAAGGATACAATAACTTGCCACCAAGTTTATACTATGCAGATATGAAGGTGTTGAAAGAGGTAATAATTTTTATGCAACAGAGCTATACACTTTTGTAGCTCTACCTGTACAAACCCTTTGGTGAGAAGCTTGTGAAGCAATTTAATCATTTCTTCAAATCTACTACCTGAAGATTTCACAAGCCACAACTCTTGAAGGTTTGGAGCCACCATTTTAGGGCTGTCTCCATGATTTCTGGGAAAACCTCTGAAAGCAGGGAAGGCAGTTCCTCTCAGATAAAGCTGCTGAAGAAATTCTTTGTATGCTTTAGATGATGTGGTGAGGACCTGAAATGATTCTCAGTATGCTGTGTTTTTCATTGTATAATTAAGTACACAATGTCCTCAATTGTCCTTGGTTAACAGTGACAGTTGACTAAGTCAACTAGTTGTAAAACATGTAAAGCATGAAGTCATTGATTATGCCAACTTATGGCAAATGTTCTGGCACTTTAGATTGTTAAATATGACATTTGCCATTTGCAACCTCCTGCTGGCTTCCCCATTGATCATTTATGACCTCCTGCCGATTTCCTTGCCAGGGAAGGTTGCCAATGTTGATCACATGACCACAGGGACATGTCAATGGCCACAACTCCCAGGACTGGTCATAGATGTTCTCTGCCATCATAAATTCAAACAGTCACTGAATGAATAGTTATTAACCCAGGGCTACTTTATTGCATAAGATCCTGAGTTCCTTTATCTCCTTTGAAAGTGTGTGTGGGTGAATTTATTACTGTAATAAATTCCACCATTATCTCTTCATGCTAGTCAAGAGTATTCACTACTAAGTCCCTAGACAGGTGAAACAGGTTTCAAGGTAAGAGACCTTCACATGTGTTTCAGACCTTCATATGTTTCATAATCTGTAGACCAGTTCAAATGTGTTTTTGGCTTCTATGTATGTCCAGCTATAAAAATGTTCTATTTGGCTTGGCACTCTATGTGAATTACATACTGGTATTTCTTTGATATAATTACATACTGGTATTTCTTTTAGGAAGTTTCCTAAAATACATATTCACATCCCACAATACTATCTGATAACCTATATAATTTTAGAAAAACATTTCAGTTCATGCTTTCTGTAACATCCAAGTGGAAAATATTATTTCCTATAAAAGTCCATTAGAAAGACAGTATTATGAAGGATAGCCACTGAAAAATCTGTCATCTTTAAATGGTTGGGTTTTTTTTGTCAGCCATCTCATACCACCTGACAACTAACAAGTATTGCACTGCACAAGTTAACCTTTGCACTGTGCTATGCGTGACACATTAATAGAGCACTACAAGAAAGACAAATGTTCACGGTAAAAGAAGAAAAATAAAGCCTTTTGTATATCACCTCCTGCTCTAACATATGCCAGTGAAACATGGACACAAATCTCACAATCTATACAAAAGTTATATATGGTGCAAAGAATCATGGAAAGATAAATGCTCGGCATCACAAGACAAGACAAAAAGACTTATATTAGAGAAGAAACAAAAATATATGATGTTATCAAGCAAGTAAAAGAACTGAAAGGGAAATGGGTTGGTCACACGGCAAGAAGAACTGATGGCAGGTGGACCAAGGCAGGCATAGAATGGATCCTACTTGATAAAACCATCCACAAAAGAGACATAAAACAAGATGGATTGACGACATCAGCAAATATTGTGGGCCCAATTGGCAAAAGAAAGCTCAGGACTATATAGGCTGGAAACATGTGAAAGAGGCCTTCATCCAGCAGTGGATAGACAATGGCTAAAATGATATCACCTACTTTACATTCCAAGACATACTTTATTTTTATTTTCATCATTACATGACTTCAGCAACAAGATCNAATAGTCATATTAACAAGAGCTTCTCTTAAAAGAAACCCACATATCTTAAACCCAAAGTTGCTTTTTTGGGCGGCAACTGGACTTTCTTGTTTTTTCTTTTGAAGACATTTCACTTCTCACCCAAGAAGCTTCTTCAGCTCTGACAGGACAGTGGGGAATGGAAGGATTTATATTCCTTGCAGACAGCTGGTCATTTGCATCCTTTTAGAGGGTCCTTGAAGCACTCAGAGGTTTATCTGTATCTCCAGGGTCACCTGAGCAGTGCTCCTGGTTCCTGTGGTCTGCATTTTTTTCTCTGTAAATCCATTCCTACTCCCACACCATTCAAGGGGTATTCATCCCAAATTGTGTAGCTAAACGTCTGTAGAGATTCTCAGTCATCCAGGTCATGGTTGACCCAAAGGTAGAGAATCTCTACAAACTTTCACATATCTTAAAGTTGCCACCATTGAGCAAACCTGATAAAATCTTTTTTTTGGCTGCTGCCCTCCTACTTTCCATTGCAGAATCACTAAGAGTTATGCTTACAGCCTCCTCCATAAAATTTCAATAAACAACTTGTATATTAGAGCACTTGATTTGCATTTAGGTCAGCCTCTTAATCCAACCTCATTGTGTATGTGAAAACAAGAGAAAGCACTCAGATGAAGATGCCACAAAATGGAGCAATTTCTCCTCTCTCTTGCTGTTCAGTAAGACCCAATAAAAATCCTACTGAAAAAAAAATCTAGCTTCTTTCATCCTTCCTGGGTGTTGGGTGAAGTGTGTGTGTGTGTGTGTGTTGCAAATTAGTTCATATCAAGTAATGGCACTTTATGAATCTTTGGCTTAGAGTCTATGAAATCAGAAATCTGGATCACGATGCCAGCCAAAGATACTTACCATGTCCCAATTCAGTCTGGGCGTAGGTCCCTAGGATGAAATTCTTTTTTGCTAAAGGAATCCATTTGTCAATCTGTTCATCGGTGCCTAAAGCCAAAATGCTCTTCATAAAGATTATATGTAGGCCAAATGCCAAATTGTCACTAAGAAACCTGCAAAAACACAGATGCCATTATGTCCTCTAACAATGATTCACAAATGTGTATTCAATATAGTGGTACTTGATTATTCATGTAATATCTGCAGCTAGAATTGTATTTGCACAAAATTGGAAGATGGAAAAAATCCCTCCAGAGGGAGAGGTAATTAAGTAGAGTGTGCAGAGATGAATAGATTAACATTGGCAATTAAGGGGAAGGAAGAATCGGAGTATTATAATATTTGAGGGAGTTTTTATCACTGAATAGAAAACAAATATAGACAAAAAGAGATATAAAATTAAATAAACTGGGAAGGAAAGAAGATTTATAGGGTAGAAGCTGAATTGAAATGTAAATGAAATGTAAAGGTAAGCAGAGAGATAAAATTATTTTAAAAATGATAGTAAATGTTAAATATGTTGACACAAAACTGTACTCAGATGACTCATTGTTTGCTTAATGATGTATGATTTGTTTAAATAAAAATGTTTTTTTTAAAATGTGTATTCAATATACAATTCATTAGTAGTCAGTGAGAGGGCTAGATGTTTAAAATTTCAGCGGAGCAACCTTGCTTAGCCTCCATAAGTGAGATCTATTTCTAGATGTTGTTTTCTCCTTTCTAAAAATCATAACCCAAACCACTTGATAAATCTTGCTAACCCTTTTCGAAAGCCGCATCTGCCTCTTTCATTATCTCTGCATACATCCTCCAAGAAAATACTCAGAGCAGAAAGCAAAAATAATTCCTAATTGCTTCCAGTAAATCAATTAGTTTTATAGTGAAACCCTAGGCATGTAAGCTCTACTGCTTTCTATAGGTCACGTGGCTTGTAACATGGGGTTACAATTGCCCTTCTCCAATTCTGTTAAGGAATACAATGTGTTTCTGAACCCACTGATTTAGAAAAAAATATACTACCAAATTAAAATTACTTAAAGCAGTAGTTCTGTTCTGGGCTATCTTCAATCCATCCCATTTTTGCCATCTTTTGTGAGAGGTAAACAGTTTTTCGGACTGCACTTTCATATCTTTCATTCTGGTTCTGGAAATACTGGTTTTCTTGGCTAAACTCTGGATCAGCCTCAAGCACAGCCTCTGTTGAATATATAAGCATTATTTTAACACATGGGAACACAGGGAAGAACATTACAACATCTTCAATTATCTCCTCAGATTTTGCTCTAAAGAATTCCCCGGAGCATTGCAAATGACTGTAGGAATTTCATGTTGTTTCTGCTTAGCTGTTACTTCCAAAACAGATGCCTCAACAGATAAGGTTTGTATGTTGACCAGTAAGTACTTTTGAATGGGAAAAAAAGTCTAATATAATGGCGAAGAAATCACAAAATGATGTAACATACAATTTGGTCAGGTTTATTTAGAACGCCCCACTTAATGCCAAGAGTAAGCAGTGAAGAAGATATAAGCTACAGTTAAAAATTATGTTATAGTACCTTTGACTTTAATGAGATCCTGTTGGGTGTAATGGTTGAGGCATTAAGGCTAGAAAGTTGGAGATTTTTGAGTTCTAGTCCTGCCTGAGGCGGAAGCTAACAGGAAGACCTTGGGCCAGTCGTGTGTGTGTGTGTGTGT